GATTGTTCGCTCCTTTCAGATATTCTCGGCATGTCATATTCGGCAGAATAGGGAATCGAGTCGCTCATGAGTTAGCTAGATTATCCTTTAGAGATGACTTTGTCACAGACTTATTTCCCAATGCTATTCAAAACTTTGTTACTGAAGATTTTATGTTTTAATACAAAGTTCCTTTCTTTCCAAAAAAAATAAAAAACTTTGCCGAATACATCTTAAATTTATCTTGAAGTCTGAATTTGATCCATCCACATCGATAATTGTTGCTTTCAATTGTTATTTTCATGATTTATCAATTTATCTAAATTGGAAGTAGAGAGAAAAGTTAGATTGTTTTCGAAATTATGTTCAAAAAAAGCCTGCAGTAGCTTCCTGCAAATAAACCCTCCTATATGTACCAAATGAATTAAATATATTAAAGTTGACATGTCACCCGTCTGTAACTGTATTTGGTCTGCTAATGATCGGCTATAAAAGTCTATAACCCTATGTCATGAGCATTAACTGATCAAACCGGGATTGAGCTGTAAGTTGTTTTTTCGGCATGTTCATTTAATTATTCCTTCAACTCTGTAAAGATTCAATAAGTGTTACAGAATAATATTAATGACACCTAACTACAAATGTATACATAAACTTCCCAAATTTTCCACTATTTAACTATCCTAATTAATGTAATCCTATGCTGCACGGACACTTCTAGAAGGTGAAGAGTCCCCGTATCTGACATCTGGACACTCGAACACACCCGTACACCTCTCGGACACCCGTGTCGAGCCGAGTCGTAATTTCGCTAAAATTAGGACACACGTGTCGGGCAGTGTCCGCATTTTTAAAAAAGTTGAGATATGGCTCTTATGTTTTAAGAGAAATACCTAATAAAAAATATGCATTTTCTTTTCTTTGTAACAATATTTCATATGTCTTCTTTGAGAATCCACCCAAAAGTCCAAAACTCTAGCGACAATGGCGACCAAGAACACGAGCAGCAAGGACGAGCGGCTCTCTTATGCGATTTGACAACTTATAAATATATTCTTACAATTTATAAATGTATCTATATATTTTTATAATTTATAAATATACCCCTATGTTTTTTATATTTACGCGTATCCCCTACGTGTCCGTATCCTAATTTTTTGGAAATGCCGTATCACCGTGTCCATATTCGCGTATCGCCGTGTCCGCATATCCGTATCCGTGCAGCATAGATGTAATCAAAAAAGAGAGAAAAAAAAAAAGGAACAACCGGCCTAGCTACTTGATAAGAGCCGATTTTGATCATCACGAGCAACTCTTGCACAATTGATTGGAATAACCGAGTGATCATCTTATTGATGATACCGAAAGATTTCGAGCTCTTTTGCCGAAATGGAGGTTCAAAATTTACCTCTAGGAATGCAAAATTTGCCTCTCGTAATTTACCTTCTTTGGCGTCTTCTTGTCATTGTTTAGGGTTTATTCCCGCAATTTTAATATTTCCTAAAGTTGTTTTTTTTTATCGAGGTTCAATTCCCTCAGTTAGATTCTTGTAATTTCTCGTTCTTATAATTAATTAATGCATTTTACTTGTAAGAAAAATAATAATAATTTATCTTCTGCCAACATTTTCTAACGATTGATGTTGTCGTGTGCCGTTTATACATCTCATGTAGTTTGTGGCTGTTGTAATATTTAACGAGTGCACACCTACTGTTCCTAGTTCTATTGTTAAAAAAAGAAAAGAAAAAAAAACTGGGTATAGTATACATGTAATTTATGTATAAAAGAAAAAACGATAGGGCAGTCCTAAGAAACACGGAGGCCATTTTATAATTATCTTTTTGAATTATTTTTTTTCTCTACTAATTTTGTAATTATAAAAAGTTCAAAATTCAAACCAAACTGTTTAGAATCCTTTCAATGTCAATCTCTAATTTTTTAACCATACATCTATAACTATATTTACACTTTTATTTCTTTTTATTTTTCTCCTCTAAATTTTTGCATTAGTAATTGCTCCATTTTTTTAAAGATCTATTTTAGTTATTAATTTTTTTGCGCAGGTAGTTTGTATTATCAGATTTATATGAATGTTATTGTTACTGTAGTTTAGATATCATTAATAAATTTTTATTATAATAGTGTAATTATGTTTTCTTATTATAATTGTTATTGTCATGTATATAAATTATTATGTTTTTCATTATTGAAATGTTATCTATGAAGAAGATGCTTCTATAGATTGTTTTTGAATTAAAATTGACAGAAAATTAAAATGAATTAATTAATGATTGCACATTTCAATAATAATTAATATATATATATAGGCACACATAAAAGAGGAGTGGGGTAGGGATGATAAAAGTGTTAGCTAGGTTGATCATGATTCATGTAGTGAAGTAGTTGTCCAAACACAGTTTGCCAAAACAGATGAAAACCTCTGTGTATTGCTCTATGCTTCCGTTAACTTTGTCTGCTCAAAACCCAGCCACCGCCCCACCACTATATATATATATATATATGTGTGTGTGTGTGTGTGTGTGTGTATAAGCTAATTAGTGGGCAAAAGAAACCTATAACCAACAAAACTGTTAGCTAGCGGAAAGCTATTACAATTAAATGGTGTGGGAGGGGGTGGGGACCCATCTATATATATATATATATATATATATATATATAGATTAAATTAATAATGAAATGAAATAGTAATGAATTAATTATGAGGAGCATGAGCAGAAAAGAAACTAGGGTAGAAGGAGAGCATAGGGGTGTGGAGCTGTCACACTCAATCATCAGGATTTATATATATAGGAATGGAATTTGGGATCCACAAACCATTTTCCACATTTTAAGCTTTAATTCACTCACAAGTGATATATGTAATTAACTAGGGTTAGATTAGCTAGTGTTAATCGGAGCACCTACTAAATTTGGCGAGAGGTCGGGTTTCAAGCCCTTTATTTGAGTGCGTTTGTTGTAAGACCATAATATAATTACCAACCTGCCACCGAAACTTGTTTTATTTGGATCAATACCTAAGTACGGTACGGTGAATGTAGGCCGAACAAATTCATCCAAACAAATTTGATTTCAGAATAACTTTTTCATTACCATTTATGATTTTTTTTTTGGGTACCTTTAATTTAATGTCCTAATAAGATGGATTTTACATAACAATAAGCATAGATATAATCAATGCGACTTTCAATTTATTATAAAAATGCTTTTAAAAAACATAAAACTATGTGAGATTCATATATAGATATAATTTCAGTTGTTGAAATCCAGGATATCACCATTTTTATTAATGCTGAATGAGGATTTCATCCAAGTTGGACTTAGTAATGTAGGTTTATATATATCAACAACAAATAATTGCATCCAATGTTAGCACTAGATCTATATAGAATATAGTACAGGACCACAAGTGTGCGTCCGCGTGTATATGATCGATCACGGCATACGAAAAACACATTTGTGAAAATTATGTATGTTATAACTTATAATTGCCTATCTGATCAGCATATATATATATAATAGAAATTCTTTTCCACTACCAAATAATTATTGACTCAAGATTATATTCTCAAAATTATATTTCGAGCTTCCGTTCATTCTTGTATTTTCAAGTGGGTGTAAATGCTGACCTAGCAATTGTTTCGATCGAATGAAAAAAGAGATATGTGACACACTCCGATCGACAAATGTAAACTCTGATTCTATTATTGCAGACCAGAATACTTTTCATTTACGAATAACTAATTAATGGTCTAGTAAATGCTACAGTGAAATATAATATACCGGTGATAAGTTCACTTCAAATGTTAAACGCAACAACACAAATACCCACATGTGTAACATATATTGTGTAAATACAAGGTTATGAGAGAAATTTATTATACTGGTGTTATCATGCTCATTGTCCGAGACCATGAACTCTATCTTCAGACAGATATTATTTTGTTATAACTAAAAGATAATCAGAACCTAGGCTCCAATTTTACATTCTTTACACTTAAATTTCAGCGGATCGGTATATATATATATATATATATATATATATATATATATATATTCACATGGCTTTCGAAATTGTGAATATTTAATGACAAGGTTCTAACAGTTTTGAACGACACATTACGATCCAGATTTGACTCTATCTCTACATGGATAAGATTTCACATCAATTACTACTATAAGTTTAATAATAATTCAAAGTAATTAGACTTAAAACACTCTATTTTGAAAAAGAAAATCAGTAAAAAGAATTGACAAAAGGAGTATTCCATATATGCTATGCTCACTGGGTAATAGTAATACCCAATTCTATATATTCAATATAACACACCTCTTTCACACAATCATATACATATATATGCGTGATTATATGTATGATCTACAATGATATTATATCGAAAGATTACGTAAACATCTTTGATTGTTGATGAATTCTTCAAGGAAATATCTTGCAAATGCAAACCCATTACAGCAGGCTCAAAGATTGAAAGTTTGAACTATATATATCATAACCCTCAACTCTGAATTAAAGTTAGGTATAGTAAGCCAACCAAAGAAGTATGGAAATGGGAAGTTGATGTAAGAGAAATTAAATAAACGAAGATGAAATTTGTGTAAATAAATTAAAAATGATGCGGAATTGAAAATTAAATAAGGAGTTACATATATATACCTGCTAAAGCAAGATCTCTTCAAAAAAGTTCTGGCGAACGCAGTACCGGCGGGCCGGGCCTGCCCATCGAAGCAAGCAGACAACTAACCTAACAAAGTTAATACAAACAAATTTGTCAAAATGTTCATTTTCTCTGCACTTCTCAGACACATTCTGCGGAAAAAAGTCAGCATATATAACAAGATATAGATACATGTTTAGAGAGAGAGAGAGGGGACCGGAGTAATTAATTAATTAATCAAACAAAGCTGCTGGTGAATTAAATGTTGCTGAAATATATCTATATATAATATTTTTGTAGATGTAAAAGCATAAAATAACAGGAGGCATCAAGGATCTACAAATGTATCTATTTAATATTCTGTCATTGATTTTACACAGGAAAATAAAAGAATTCAAAAACCCTGAAAATTAATTAAATCTGATGATCGGTAATGAAATTACTGTTATAAATCCAAATCTAAAGACAATGAATCTTTGCCTTTGTAATTATTGTGATAATTATTACTATAATTAAGAGAATCGAAATCGGGATGAATAATTATTTCGGAATCTGCTGTAGCCTCAGAAATGGGACAATCCATTGTCACTCCGAAAAGCCTCATCCGCTTTGCTGCGCCCGAACCATTACTATTATTATTACTATTATTGGCTACTTGTACCACCGGCACTGAATCGAATACCATTCCCCCTCTTTGCGCCTCCGTGTGTGGCTGAGCCGCCGCGGCCCATCCTCCGCCGGGAGAAAAAGAACCAGGTCTCTGTAGGTACATGATTGACCCCGGCCGCGGACAAGGGTTTCCATTCACAATCCCCGGGTAATTATTGGGAGATTGTTGATAAAATAGGGGGTTGCTACTATTCCAATTACTATAATTAGATGGGGAATATGCACTATGGAATGAGAAATGAGAGTGTGGGAATATTATTGAGGATGATGATGAGACCGGAGGAGGCGGCGCATCTGGGCGGCGCCGCCAGTTGATGAAGAGACGGTCTTTACCGAAATCACCGAGACCGCGTTGGAAGGTGACAGTATCGCCGGCGTCGAGCTTCTTGTCCTTGACGAAGCGGCTCCATCCCTTAGTCATGACGTAGCTCTGGCTGCTGTTCCAGTAAGAGTACCTGAACCGCCATTGTTTCCCATTTCTATCCTCGAAATTCAAAAGCAGCCCCTTTTCGTTGTTCGACGAATCCAACGGGAAATATTTCTCGGCGTACTGTTTCGGGATGACTAGCCTGTTCAGCTTCCCCACGTCACTCGGCGTCACCACTTTATCGAACATGTGCTCCCTCTCCACCATCGCCGCCACCGCCGTATGATTGCCGCCGGAATATTCCTCTTCTCCTCCGTTCCCATAATTGTTGAACTCCGGCGGTGCACCACCACCACCACCACCGCCGCCGTAACTGCAGTAATTAAGAGGAAAGCCGGAAGAAGACGAGGAGGAGGATCTCTCCTCATAATTAAACCCTGATCTACCCGACATGAAATTCATGTAATTGCCTAGATTAATGAACTCTTGTCAAATCAACTCAAACGCTCACACAGATCTAATCAGGAGAGAGAGAGAGAGAGAGAGAGAGAGAGAGAGAGAGAGAGAGAGAGAGAGAGAGAGAGAGAGAGAGAGAGAGAGAGAGAGAGAGAGAGAGAGAAGAATTAAAAATGAAAGATAGAAGAAGAAGAAGAAGAAGAAGAAGAAGAAGAAGAAGAGATACAGTATGTATACGTATAAAGATAGGTAGCTACTGGGAGTTGCAATTGTATATGTCGTCTACCTACCGTCCCTAGAAAAAGAACAAGAACATGAAAGAGAAACCAAAATTATTATTTTATTTCTTGGCATATATTTAATTTTGTGTGGTAGCTAGGTCTCAACTCTCACCTCGTGAATATATAAATGTGACCTATATATATTTATATATTAATATATGTTGTATATATATCTAGGGTTAATAATAACAAGATATTTCTTCTTCTTCTTTATCTCAATGATAGTGACGATTTTCAAAAGAAGAAATGTAAAAGAAGAAATTCACATATCAACCAAACGAAGCTGCTACATGTGGGCGGTGGTTTGTGCTTTGACCAGAAAATTATTCAATATGCTAGTAACTATTGTTAATGGAGTAAGAGAACACAAAATCAAATAATTAATAAGAGTTTTAGAGGGTGTTTAAACTTATTTTAAACAGCTGATAAGCTCTTATGTCTGATAAGATGTTTTAAGAGCTGATAAGCTGTTACATCTTATTTTTAGGATTAATTTTTTTAGTGTTTGGATAATGGGCTTATTTCCTATTTTTACTCATTAAAAGATCTTAAATAAAAAGGTGGGGTAGAGGTACTTATTTAAAAAGATTTTATTTGCTCTTCAACAGCTTATTTTAAAAAAATATAATATCTTTTTCTATAAATTTACCAAGCACTTTGGAAGAGCTTATAAGCTCTAAAACATCTTATAAGCTCCTTTTAACATCTTATAAGCTTAGCCAAACACCCTCTTAATCCTATTATCGATTTTGATCTACTCACACGTCACACATGATCTATTTTTGTATGGTTTACATGTTTTGCTTAATTTTACTAGCAACGTTTCATCAAGATCTATATAGCTGACTTTGTCCCTTAAACTATGGGGTGTGTCGCAAACACAATCTGCAATTATGAAATGTACCAAATACCTTATTACTGTTGATGTCATCTATTGATTTTCTTGTTACCAACAGTTATTATAGTTTTTGCCTTATTTATATGATCATTTGAACCCTCTATTGGTTGTATAAATATTCTGCAAAGACTGAAAGCTTAAATGTGCCTAATTTGTTAGCTTTATTTTTTCCCATATTTTTTCATTTGAAATTAGTTTTTTTTTTTGTTCATCTTGTTCTTCTTAATTTTACTATAATGTCCGGTGGCACCTTAAGTTGTCATATCGAGTATCTGAGCTCAATTTCATATCGAATTGTAGACCAAACCAAACCAAATTACTAATTGGATACAAAAAAACGTAAGGAGGTATTTCGTACATTTGGTGTGTATCCCATAATTCAAGATTACAAAACAAACCCTACCCTAAATAATATTGTGATTGTGATCTATATAACAGAAAGAGAGAGGAAGAGAGAGAATTGTACTGCAAAGGAAGACAATTATTCAATTAATTAATGTATGTATTGGGTTATTTTCGTTGGTGTGGGGGAAGCTTCTCAAGTTAGGCCAATATATATATATTTTTGGTTGAATTGAATAAATTTAATTATGTACCAAAATTTCTTCATATTGTAATATATTGTCATAACTTTCGGTGAGAGATTGATTCTGAGTGGGGGCCCATAAATTATATGGATGGGTTCATGTGAGCTAGTCCTTGTCATCTACCTGGGTTCTATTTTATTTATTTATATCATAAATAAACAAATGTGAACTCAACTCACAAGTAAACGATTGTATGTATACGCACATTTATATGCAACTGTATATTATACTGATTTTTTATGTTATCTAACTAGGACCACTTTGTTTGATTTTTTTGTTATTATTCTCTCCTCTTGTACATTTACCTTTATTCTTTAATTTTTCGATGTTCAATTTTAGTTTTTTCTTTTGTCTAAATTTATCTTTGAAGTGATTGGAAAAAGAGGGGATTATAGTTAAATTTATAACATGTTATGTGATTTAAAAAAAAAAAAATAAGTTTGGAATGAAACATCTTACTTAAAAGAATTATAATTCGCACATTTTATCTTGTCGGGCTTATTAATTTTAAGCTCTACTTCCGTGTATGTTGTAGGACCTTGTTTGGTTGTCGAGATTAGGTAATTTTATACAAACGTAATTTTGTCATCGTGGTATATATAAAATGTCAAATATAGCTTGTTCTCTATTGATTTTCAGTTAAAGTGTATAAATATAAATTTTAGAATATAATGTTGTTCACGAGAATTAAGACCTTAATGCCATACTAAGTACTAACATGAGATCCGTCACTAATTGTCAAATGGAAGTATTCAAAAGAATTTTTGATAGACTCTCTTTGTTTCTTTTGTGGATTTTTCATCTTTCTCTTTCCCATTTCATTAATTTATGATTAATGTTAAACATGAAAAAAATAATGAAGTATGTCTAAAAACTCTAAATTGACATCTAATATAGAAATTTTTTAAGGCTACGTACAATGACACTTAAAATGAAACGGAGGGATAAATTTCAACAATAATAAAACTGTGATTTTGTGTAAATCTACTGTTACCCTAACGGTGTATTTTACACCTAACCGAATCTAAATAATAATTGTACAACGGATTAGAGGGCAATATAATATATGTAGCAGCAGCTACTTTCAATTGTGATACTGCAACTTGGATGTGGGCTGACCGATATATTAATTACTACAACAAGATTAAACTAATTAATTAATTAATTAATAATGCATATATCTAGGATGATTATTAACTTCTAATTGACACTATTTAAAGAAGCTAGTTGTCCAGATAATGCACTAATAATTTAAGCAATTGGCCACTTAATTGGTTAGATTATTAATTTATTATTGACTTGCTGCCTTATTGGTCTGTCCGTACAAGTCCTACTAGTTCAATATTGTTATCAAGTTTGAAGCACACACGTTCTACAGTACGTACCCCCAAAAAAGTCTCTTATGTTTATCATTACAATTTTCTTTTGTACTCTATTTGATCATATTTGGTGGGGTTTCTATTGCACGAAAACTTTAATTTCTTAAAATTTCCGTATTACGGACATGTTTTGTGGCCAACACTTGAGTACACCTGTCGGACACCTTATAGGTCATTTTGTAATTCCTGAAATTTTAGAAATCTGTTTGAATAGTAAATTTTAGATATTTTTGTTGCTTCCCTAATTATTTACATAATTTAATGATCAATTGCATAATTATTAGTCGATAGTAAATTTTATTTTCAATATGTTTGTTAAAAAATATATAAAAAAGAATTTATAAATTATAAATAAAAACTTATATATGTTTCTTTTGAATATGTATGTTTGAAAATATTAACACGTTTCCACGAAGCTTCCGTATCCCCATTTTTGGGACATGTCGTTTCTCTATTTTCGTTTTCCCGCATCGCTGTTTTCGCATCCATGCTACATAGGTTAGGATGAATTGAACTTATATATATAGAACCATTTCTTAGCACCCTCTAATTAGACAAAGCAAACCTGTCTTTAAATAGATATAAAATAAAAGGGTGAAAGACTTTTTCCTAAATCTTGGCAATAGTAAATCTACACAAGTAAGCACACTTATATATATAATGTAAGTCTCATTTGGTACGAATTAGGGGCATAAGCAAAGCACCGAGCTAAGAAACTTAAAAGTAAATATCTTTTTTAATATTTAATGTATTGATCAAAAGTAACCAACATGTATATTCCTGAGAAATATTTTTTACATAGTAACATATAGATATATAATTATGTTGTAATAGAAAACAAAAATAGTAATTAAACGTCAAGCTTGAAAATTCATGTGGACCCAAAAGAAATATCTTTTTATATACTTATAGGGTTATATGGACCATGCATTATTATTATCAGCATTAGTTAAAAGGAAGGGAAAGAGGTGGCCAATTTCGACACCTCTTCTTCAAGTGGGTGAAGCATGCCTTTGCGGCCCCTAATTGATAACACATATGTGATATGTGTACCTCTATTTCTTTACATTATTTTTATGTATCTATTCATGTAACCCCACACCCCTCCCTGCTTTTGCTAATAATATTTCTTCTTATCTCTCGTGTAATGAGGGCCGGTTCTGATTATAGGTGAAAGAGTCGGTCGCCTCGGGCACCTAATTTTTAGAAAGAGACGGTCGCCTAGGGCCCTGTGTCTCTCAGGAACGGCATTGCGTATAATTTGCATGTTATTAGGTAAGAGTGTAGGTTGATCCAGTACATCTATATGATTGATTATAGATTCCTTCATAAAAAAGATAAAAATTAAATAAATAAATTATTATTATTTGTTCCATCAATGTGTAAATAATACTAAATATTACTATCATACTTTACATTCACTCCCCTACTCCATTTATTTATTTTGTTGCATGATATATGCAACTTTGGACAATGTACAAAATAAGAATTTGACTCGGGGCGGGTTCACCCGGGTCTATCCGGGTGATAAGTGTTCGTTTTGTACGATTTTTGCTTATCAAATCTTCGAGTTTTGGTCTTCGTTCGTCCGAGTTTCGGCTTTATTTGTATATATTATTGCGTTTCTTGTTTTATTTCTATTTTTAGGTTTTGTTAGATATTTTTGCCGATTCGAAACGATTTTGAAAGCGAAGCCGAGAATCAAGTCAAACAAGAGCAAATATTGCAATCAAGTGGATGGTGGCAGCCTTTGGTATTTTACGCATAACTTCTTCATACGATCTCCGATTGAGCTGATTCAAGTAGATTTACAAAGCCAACTTCAAGGTCTACAACTTTTGTGAAATGCAAAATTGTCAAATTCGGGTTAAAAAAGGGTCAACACGGAGTTTCAAGTTCAGACAGTCACCATATCGCGATATTGCCATCATGTATCGCGATATGGGGAGAAATGAAACAGAGAGCTTGCATTTTTGCCATA